TACGTCAGTTGAAAACAGTCAAGAAATACCTCTTGCTAATCAGATTATAAAATTTGGTAACAGGATTTAGAAATCACCCACTCCTCCCTCCCCCTCCCCACTCTTTTTTTTTTACGATTTGCTAACAAGGCTCTTCAGTTTCAATTTTGCTAACAATTTTTTTTTTTTTAAGATGTTGAGGGGGGTTCTAGGACAATTACCCCCTGGGCAATCACCCCTGGAAAATTACCCCCCGGAAAACTACCCCCACAGGACAATTACCCCCTGGAATATTACCCCCCGGAGAATCACCCCCGAGGACAACTACCCCCAAGGACAATTACCCCCCGGAAAATTACCCCCCGGAAAATTACCCCCTGAAGACAATTACCCCCGAGGACAACTACTCCTTAGGACAATTACTCCCCGAGGACAATTACCCTCTGATGACAACTACCCCCCCCCCCGATGACAATTACCTCCGAGGACAATTACCCCCCGAGGACAACTACCCCCGATGATAATTACCCCCCGAGGACAATTCCCCCCGATGACAATTACCCCCCCCCCCCCGAGGACAACTACCCCCGTGGACAATCAGGATTCAATAGCAAAAGACGATCTGACACATTGAGAGATGGCTACGAGCCCATAACAGATCCCCTGCATGAACCCATATTGTTTCAAATACTATAGCACGTTGTCTTCCTCATTACTACACATTTCCCTTTTATTAGAATTTATGTAACGCCAATGCGGTTGGAATTTTGCACGAAGAATGTAAGTTTTAGGTAATTGTCCAGCGCTTTTCAAAATGCATAGAAATACATTTCTCTGGAGCAGCGTTATTTTAACTTTTTGTTAGTTACGGTACCCTCTTAAGAAATGAATAATGAATAATTAATAGTCTTTACAGACTATTAATTTTGACTGTGGCTCTCGTCAAGTGCTATACACCTATGGGCACATTTAAGATTAAAAAGGAGAAGACATTTTCAAACTGGTATCCACACACAATCCACACACTAGAAACTATTTAAAGTACTGTATGCGGGCACCTTGCCGCCGAATGTACATAAATAAAAAGTGATATATTCGGTCATGGCCTTGATACACAAATATGAGGATATTCGGGCCTCTCGTTGCCCTTATTTGCCTTGCTGTCAAAATATTGTCAGCGAGCGAGGAAGGAAGACACTTTAGTATCTTCAAAGTTGTATTTTCTCATTTAATTACATATTTTAACCGTTTTTGGTGTCTGATTCTTGTACAAAATCAACGCTTTCCAAACATTCTCTTGCGGCACCCCGGTTGAAAAACGCTGTGCTGGAGTTACAAAATCAAATGAGATGAATTACCAGAGAGCGGATATTTATTTTCGTTTGACATGGCACCGTACATATATATATATATATATATATATATCTTGAAGGCAATTTCTATTTCAAAATAATTTAACGTACACGAAAACATATTATACTTCAGCATGACAACAGAAATAAATAGATAACGTGAAGAAAACCTTAATTATGGATCATGGCATGCAGGGGCGTAGACAACGGGGGGGGGGGGATGAGGGGGATGCATCCCCCCACCTCAAAAGGTGGGGGGGGGGATAGCATGTACAATCATCCCCCCAGGTTTTGGGGAATGATATTTGCTTACTTAATAAGTCATAATGATGATAATAATAGTAATAATAATAATAATGATAACAATTATAATATTAATAATAATAATAATCCTCATCATTATTGTAATTGTGTTTATTGTTATTAGCCGCATTCACACGGTGAAAGCCAATTCAGACGGTAAAAAAAAGAAAATCTTACAAGTATTTTGTGGTTATCTTGTGGTTTGGAAACCACAAGATAACCACAAGATTAAACAGGCGCGGATCTACGGGGGTTTAGGGGGTTTAACCCCCCCCCCCTTCGGCGGCCCAAAAAACAAACAACAACAAAAGGGAAAAAAAAGAAAGAAAAAAAAGAAAGAAAAAAAAAGAAAAAAAGAAAGAAAAAAGAACGCACGCTGGAGAGAAACCCTTTCAAGTGCAAATATTGTGAGAAGATATTCAACTCATCTGGTAACTTAACCAAACACATGATAACTCTGGATATAACTGTGTATTTAACCGTTACTTGATTTAAAAAGACGTTATCATGCACTGCTTTTTATGGTCTCCATTGTGTTAATAGATGCCAGGAAAACATCACTTACGGGGTTCAAATAAACACCCCCAAAAAAATCGGCTCGCCGCTTCGCGGCTCGTGGACGATGCTCCGCATCGTCATTATTTTGGTCAACCCCCCTCCTTAGCAAAAAGCTAGATCCGCCCCTGAGTCATCCCCCCCAGGTGTACGAACCTGTCTACGCCACTGATGTCATGGATGAGGACCCATTATACATACAAAGACAAATACACGATCAGCTGATTAAAAAAGTTACAGAGGATAAAAGGAAATATTACATCCTAATTTCTACGTTGTGCCATTGATGGTGAGAGAGACGGTAACGCGTACTCATCTGCGCGCAATGTATTGCTCAATTTCTAAGAAATGTAATTCCTGTTCTTTACTCTGTAGCAAAACTACAGGGGAATTGGGCAACCTCCACCCAGCCCCCCCCCCCTCCCCCCATATCGAATTGAATAATTTGAAAAGACTGAAATGAACTTCATAAATAACAAAGAAAATTAAGGTTTATGCAATTTTCTGTAAATAGCAATTTGGAGAGAAGCTTGCGTTATACGTCACAGTGTTATACATTCCTCGGGGTGATTGTCATTGGGGGTAGTTGTCCTCCGGGGGTTATTGTCCTCGGGGGGGGGGGGGGGGATTTTCCTCGATGGGGGGAGGGGTAGTTGTACTCGGGGGGGGGGGGTTAATTGTCCTCGGGGGTAGTTTTCCTGATAGTTGTCCTCGAGCGTAATAATAATAATAATAACGTTTTATTTACCCGGGGTAGCCACTTCAGTTATGAAACTGCTCTTCCAGCGGGCCCTGCAAAACATAATGTTATTACTACCCTTCTCTAATCTAATATGTTGAGCGCCTAGCTAGAAGGCAGAAGGTCCCATTGTTAAAAGTCTTTGGTATGACTCGGCCGGGGTTCGAACCCACGACCTCCCGTTCATGAGGCGGCGCTCTAACCACTGAGCCACCATGCCCAGTAGTGTCCATGGGGGGAAATTGTCCTCGGGGGTAGTTGTCCTCGGGGGGTAGTTGTCCTCGGGGGGTAATAATCCTCGGGGGTGGTTGTCCTCGTGGGGTAGTTGTCCTTGGAGGGGGGGGGGGTAATTGTCCTCAGGGGGTAATTCTCCGGGGGGGGGGGGGTAATTCTCCGGGGGGGGGTAATTTTCCGGGGGGGGGGGTAAGTGTCCTACGGAGGTAGTTTTCCGGGGGGTAATTTTCCGGGGGGTGATTGCCAGGGGGTAATTGTCCTGATACGATGTGAAACAATAAAGATAGTCGATTCGCTCTTCCCCGTTTCAGTTCCCTCGATTTACTCTTGACAGTTAAGATCTGCCGTCCTTGCAATATATCAATGTAGCCTATATATCAATGTTAGATATTGTAAACCAACGTAAAGAAACACAAGCAGCAGAAAAGGGGTAAGAGAGAGAAAGAGAGAGAGAAAGATAGAAAGTAAAAGAAAGAGAGAGAGTAGGAAAGATAGAGAGAGAGAGAGAGAGAAGATGATAATTTGTTTTAATCATGAAAATTGTTCTTTCACAACAAGGTCTACCTAGTGGGAGAACAAGAGAAAGTACAGTAATTAATGACTCTGCAATATCATTAGGCCAATTACTTACCTTTAAACAACAACAAAAAACAAATTGTGGAGAGAGAGAGAAAGAAAAAAAGTATGAAAAGTAACAAGTGGGGGGGGGGGGAGGGAAATGGAATGAAAAAGTGACGTAAGAGAGAGAGAGAGAGAGTGGTGGGGAGAATGAGAGGAAAGAGGAGGAGAACTTGGGAAGGGAGAGAAGGTAAAGTAGAGATAGAATAGGAGAAAGAGAGAAAAGAAAAGGTGGGGTCAGAGCGAAGAAAAGATGGATGGGAGGGATGATATGTTTTTCTCTGAGTTTGTTATTTTATCTTTGCCACCCTTTTCATCTATTCCTTCTATCCGTCGTAGGTTGCCTATCATCGCCATGTAAGAATAAAGGTGTTTGTTCGGAGACGGATTATAGCTATGCGTGTGTGTGCCCTGATGGGTTTTTCGGCCATAGTTGTGAACGTAAGTAGATCTATTGTCATTATTAGTGTTTGTAACCATTAAGCTAATTAATTTTTATTTAGTTTATTGGGTTAATGGATTTGCTGTTATCATGGTTATCACTGATTATTATTTTAAATTAAAAAGTCTAAGTATTTCTAATGGGATATATGGCTACGATATATTCTGTGCTTTATCTGTCCATAAAAAAAAAAAAAACATTCTTCAAGAACATTATTCTAATTACTTTGCATTATGATGACATAATATAATTATACATGTACATGAATCAACATATCAAAATAAATGTCACCAAATATAAATAAGAATATGACAAACGAATTTGTTCTACAGAATGTTTTATTTTTCCATCCGTCTGAAATAATGAAAATGCATTATTTTAAACAAGGATGCTTATGTTTTTTAAATATACACGAATTGATTGATATTACGTTGTTTTCTGCGCCCACTGGAAAACATCTAATATATATCGTAAAAAGGTGGGATATATCGGAAGGCGATGAGCAGAGAAACAATGAGGTTAACAAAATTTGATTATACCAGGGAGGTGTACCTAACGGACTTAAATTGTGTCATATGTCAAGTAGAAGGCTATTACATAGACAAAATCTTCAGATTAAGAAGGACTTAATTTGTTTTTATTTTGAGATGTTGTTTGGAAATCTGTTTTCCTTTTGTATCATTCCTGTTATATCAAATGCCACTTTGCTGTATGATGATCTAAATATAGACCTGCCGAGAACATGCGCAGAACTGAAGGCACATAACGGGACCTATCTTATTGATCCAGATGGCCCGAATGGAAACCTTTCTGATCCAGTGGAAGTTGAATGTCGAAATGGTAACTTTTACTCAGATTGTCATTCAAATTATATAATTATAATTCATAGGGCATATCAAGTGGGCATAAAGACAATTTTGTTGGGGTATGTCGTTTATTGCCCCCAAACTTTCCGTTGTGTAGGGAGCAAAAAAAAAAAATATTTCAGCCACAGTAAAACCCGTTGGTTGCTCCAGTGTGTCCTCTTAATGTTTCGATATTATAACAGTATACCCTGCTGCCAAGAAAATATGCATTTTTGGTTACTGGAATATTGTCAGGTTACAACTTCTCGGCGGTGAGGGAGAGGTTGGAGGGTGAGAGGAATGGAGAGAAGAGGATGGGGGGGGGGGTGCAGCCCTAAACCTTTCCCATTCCGCTCCTATGACTGTGGCTTGGGTACAAACAAAATGTTTTTATAATTAACGATGTGGGCTGACAGACTTAAATGAAGGGGTTGGAATTGATTTTTATCCGACCAAGGGGTATGAACCAAAAATGATTTACTAGGTTATGGGCATTTATGTGGACTAACCCTCCCATTGACCCTCCGCCTCAGACGTTGATGCTTACCCTCATTGATCCCACATTGATCGTACTTCGGGAAATTTTTACTATGAAGAAAAAAAAATCGCCTCCCCCTTTCTGATGATATTGGATCAACCCCCGGTCGCAGGCCGTGTGAGCATGCATTGCTCTTTTGACTATAGGCTCTAGTATGGCGACAACTTATGTTCAAACTGTACCCGGTCATTTTGTCGATGACTCTGAAAGGGAGAGATGTCTATCATGAAAGGGTAGCCACAGTCGCAAGTCGTCACTTTTTAATGGGGGAAAAATCGACCGCTTCCCCCTTTTCTGACAATCTTGTATCAGCCCTTGGCCAGGAACCGTAGGACCAGTGATCTATAAGACTATAGAATACAGAAGGATAGCAATTTTTTATTATTATTTATTACAATACCAAACATGCGTACAAAATAATGTTCCGACCATTTAGCCGGTCATTTTAGCTTTGACATTGAGAGGTCTCAATAGCAATAGCCCCAAGACTGACAGTTTTGATGAAGGAGGAGGGGCTCACACATAAAAGTCATAACCCCTTTTCGTCTTTCACAATGCTGTCTTTACCCTGCCCCAAGGCGTGACCACCATTTCTCACAACATTCCTGGTGAACAGCAAGTTCCTCAAGGCTTTGAGGATGAAGGTTCTTACAGAAAAGAGGTGGAATACACTCTACCCATGGATTCCATCGTTGCAATACTAATGGACTCCACGAGCTGCAGGCAGTACATCAGAGCAGCCTGTTCCTATACCTACATGATAAGTGACACCAGAACCAATAACATTTACTGGGTCTCAAGACAAGGGATCAAGATGACAAACTGGGGAGATGCACCAAGTAATGTTACCGGGTGTCTTTGCGGTGTCAACAACAGTATGTATTGTTATTTCATTTTCTAGATAACTCTTATAATTTTTTGGGGTCTGATCTGATCAAGAATGCTTTTAGTATATATTGAATAACATTTTGTGTTAGAAAAAAAAAATTGAGGTTTGTCACAAAATAGGAACGCCCTTGCCATCATTTTGATATTAAGCTTTGTTTCGCGGAGTGTTCGCAAGATAAACATGACAAAGGCACATTTTTGTAGGCCCGTGTTCTACAGCGTCGACGTTGGGTTACTTGAGGCTATTGTCTAAAATCGGGTTTAAAGAAGGAAGTTATAGTATATGGTCTAAGATTTCCTTTAGACCCGGGGTCTGATTTAACTAAATCAGTAGAATATGGACCTTAGAAGTTAGATTTATTTTTCATCAACCAACAACAAGAATTCAAAAAGCCTACGTACACTAGGACCAAACCATGCATGTAAATCTCAATATCGCCGCGTTGTTTTACAGGGCCTATACTGTAGTCACACTTAAAGGTCGGGTGACATCCAATTATAAGTTGATTCCTGTTGATATGCAGGGCTGCATACAACTCATATTTTGTTTTTCTAATATCTAAATACATTTCATAATTTTCTCAGACCTGCAAAGCTCCACCCTAAAAAAAATGATCCTTCCTAGCTCTAATGACATCAACTGTCAATCATTAGTGAGCTAACAAGATACAGTGGTATGTAGCTTCACCAGAGCTGACCACAATACTAACATAGGAGTTGCTTTGTCAGACGTGCTGTAGCATAACCAGGAAAAGAAAGGTATCTGTGGAGGTATTGTATAAAATCATGCAATTCTTTTGTAAACATGTGTTGGGCAGGCCAGCTCGGAAAGTTATATAGCCCTTCAGGAATCAACTTATATTTGGTTTTCACTCGACCTTAAATGACGTAGTTGCTATAATGCAATATCTGCTAAATTGTAGATTAATTTTCCTTCTTCTGTACATGTTTAGCTTGCCACAGTTCAGGGGATTATTGCAATTGTGATAATTCTGACCAATGGATGACGGACGAAGGCTTCCTGAGGGACCTAACTCGACTTCCGGTCACCAGACTACATTTTGGAGATACAGGGAGTGATTTTGAAAAGATTAACTACGAACTTGGATTTCTCGAATGTCAATGAGGGCTTCATTCAAGAGGAAGATTGCTATTTTGTTTTTTCAAAGTATTTGAGCACGGGGGGGGGGGGGGTCCTTCAAGGCCGTCGATCCGTCTTCAGGATGATAATACATGTTTTAATCATGCTGGATGGGGGGGGGGGGGGCGGCGTATGGCTATTATGTCTCTTTGAGATAGTTCCTAAAGTTGTATATTGTTTAAGTGCCACATTTGTATATAGTACGCTATACAAATTAATGTATGGGTGTTATATATAGCCCTATATATTTTCTTTTAAGATTTTCAACAAAAATTGTTGTGCAAATGAGGGGCAGGATACCTTTGACTCTTTAATTCGAGTGAACAACGATGTGTCTCCTACATGCAAAATTCAATTCAAAGACGTTTACCAATGCACGACGCCTCAGTTTGGCACTATAATGAGAACAGAAAAAAGGGACAAAACAAACTCTTGGAGGGGTAATTTTTTCGATGTTGCTATTGATGAGGATGATGTTGACTACATTCCTAGGGCAGTGGCATAGCTACACAGTGTGTCCCAGACAAAACGAAACCGAGAATTATTGATGTTTTATCATAACTTAATCACAATCATAATTAATAAATGACACATATTTGTAAAGCTTAGATCCTCCTCTTCCATTGGATGCAACTCATATGATGCATATTTCACGCATGAGTGATTAAAAAAAATTTGAAAAAAGGGTACCAAAAAGTCATTTGGCGAATGGTATCTGATTTCAAAGAGAAAATCACATTTCTAGAAAGTTATTTTCTGCCCTTTCATATGACACCTCAATCAGGAAAATGAGCCAGGAATAACAAAGTTCTGTTTGTTTAAAGTAATGCTTGCATTTCCATAATTTTATCAGACGAATTCGTTTGCACTGGCCACTGGCTGCCTGCCTCAGCAATAAACAGAGTTGAAAAAGACTTAATTCCGTTTCGTTGACGATCAGCCATGCATGAAGTCTTTAGTCTTCTTTAACTTCTTTCCTTAACATATTTCATAAGTTATTAAATATTTACTTTTCTAAAGTTAAAGACAAAGGAACTACCCACAAAAAAAAATCACCGAGACTTCCATGGATTTTTTTTCATTTTTACGTTCAATTAACAGAGTCTTTCGTCTATGGCTGATCTTCAACGAAACGGAGTTAAGTCTTTTGTCAATTGTGTTTGTTGCTACGGCAGGCAGCCAGTGAAAATGAATTCGTTTAATCAAATTATGGAAATGCAAGCATTATTTTAAACAAACAGAACTTTGTTATTCTATTTATTGGCGAATAAAAATCAATCAATCACTATTTACCCTTCGAGATCATAATGGACTCGTCCGTTCAATGTCTTTGTGTTTGTCACACTATTACTCCACTGAGTAGACGGTGCTCGGCAGGGCCGTGGTCGTCATGTAACGTATTTTTTCATGTTGTACCGGCTGATTGCACATACTCTGACAATTGAAAGAGTTGTAGATGAAAAGGGGAACGATGAATGAAGCACATTACTAGTTTATCATATCATAAACTCAATTAATGAAGTTTCATCCTTGCAAGACTTTGAAAACCACAAAGTACAGATTTTACCAGTCGCATGCAGCTAAGTTCAAGGGTACTTTGCCACAAAATGTTACAAGAAGTTTTCAACGTAGACACAGGCTGAATGTACATCTTTCGGAATGAATAAAACGTACATAAACAGCATCACATATAGATAGTGAAATTCTACCAAACAGTAAGATAGAATTTAGATACTATATACGACTCAAGAGTACCGTGGGTTGGGTGAAGTTATTTAAGGGACATTGGTGGGATGGGGGAGGGGGAGGGTCGTACTATGTGAATGAAATGCGAATGTCCCCCTCTCCCACAATCGAAATAATTTTTCAACCCATGCATGTTGCCATTTAGTGGAGGGGGAGTCACAACCTTAGCTATTTTCTTGATTTGGTATTTTAATACAGTTTCCCTATCTAAGCATCAACTCGGATGATTGTCTGGTGAAAGATTTTCCAAACCATTCTATCGAATAACACACTGTAAAAAAGAATTTGTTCATTGGTAATTTTTACGTATTTTTTCCATGTAGAATTTACTTGAAAACATTAGTTTTGCCACTTACGCACTAATTTTAAGTCTTGCTAACTCAAACTTTCAATTTAGTGGAATATTAAAATCAAATACATAAGAACTTTAAGTAATTTCAGCTTGTATTAATTTAGTAATTTTAACTCAAAATCAGAAATTATACGTATTACTCAAACAATTTATGTTGAATATTCTTATCTTTTTAAAGTAAGGACCGATGCAGTGCGTAATAGAAATATTTACATAATTTATGAATATTCATTAAGACCAAATTAAACTCTTTTTTAAATAAAACAATTCTTTTTTGTGGTTGAATGAAAATTTAAGGACTTTAAAACATTTACTAATTCATTTAACATGGCTAAGCAAAGACAAGACAATTTTTAATTGTTACCCAGTTCAAAACAAATCAAAACTTGATATTTCAGGAAATTGTCAACCAATTTTCCTTTTAAGATGCTACGATCAAGTATATATAAAATTTGGAGCCTTTCAATATGTGTCGAATTGAAGCGTATGTAATAGTTTGTGATGGTGGTAGATATACGGTTAAATCTTAAATAGAAGTAGTGTTAGTGATTAGTGATTAATCTTAAATAGAAGTAGTGAATGATTAGTGGATGTTACTTGTTAGATTAGATGGGTACCAAATCGTGCAATATGTAATCCTATCATAGCTTTTTTTTAATTATCTAAAATGATTACAATACTTAAATTATTTACGTTAATGTAACTCGATTTAACTGAGTAAAAATTTATTCAGCAAAATAAGTAAGTTCTACTTAAGATGCCGTAGGTAATATTTACTTAATAAAAATAAGGCAATTCTTTTCCTCAATTTTATTGAGTTATTTCGACTATTATTTTTTTACAGTGCATGACCAAGAGCTCAGCTGTCGACCTCTGATATTATTCAGAAGCTTCCGTCTTGTTCCCGCCATGGCAAATACCTCATTATTAAAAACTCTTTCTGTCCATGAAATTCTAAGCATCCTTCTCAGGAACCAAACTTCACAACTTTCTAGTCGCTTTCTTAGGTCTGATGTCAGTGTTCAAGCTTCACATCCATATAGAACTGAAGACACTTAGCAATATTATTGAGTACGCGGAGTCTCGTCTTCATCTTCAGCTTCTTATTCTTGAAGATATTTTCTAACTTGGAGAAAGTGCACTCCTTCTCTTGATTTCTTGCTCGCCTCTTGCATCGTCTGTAATTGTAGTCCCGGGTAATTAACAGAGGTGGCTTGTTTTATTTGATTGTTGTTGATCTTAAGAGAGCATGGTATTCCTCCCTTCTTTGAAATTACCATGCATTCCGTTTTCTTGTAATTTAGTGATAATCCTCTCTTGTCACTCTCTCTCTGACGACAACATCCAAACGTCGCTGCAGGTCCTTCTCAGATTCTGCGATTAATATAGTATCATCTGCAAACGGCATACAGTATGTTTTTGATATTATGTCCTCCTACCTTTAATCCTCTTTCCTGTTCTAGGTTTCTAAGTATCAAATCACAGTAATAATTGAAGAGATCCGGAAGCCCCTTTTAATGTTGATGTAGTCACTTAATTTTGTTTCCAATCAAACACATGATGTTTGTTCGCAATACAGATTTTGCAATAACTTTACATCCTTTGTATCTAGTTCAGTCTTGGTTAAGTGTTCAAATAACTGAGTGTGTCTTACCTTATTTGAAGGCTTTCGTATAATCGATGGAACACAGGAAGACTTCTTTCTGCATTTCTACGGCCCTTTCTGCTACAGGCCGCAAGACAAAAATAGCATTTCTAGTTAATTCCTAAGAGATCTCCTTATTCTCTTATCTGAGGTGAGCAGCTAGGCAAGCGATCATCTCATACAACAGTTACGTGATGGTGCTTCAAAGAAACCGTGCTAGCGTAACACACAATCTAAAACATGCCATAAAGTACGGTCTGTACAACTGCAATGGAAGCTGCATTTTCATTTTTATGTTTCTTATGGAGAACTCCAAATCTTGCATTTGGACAACCCGTTCCAGTATTTTAAATACGCAGGGCAAAATTGAGATGGGCCGATAATTTGAAGGAGGGCTCTTATAGCCACCTTTGTGAATTGGGATAATCTTGGACCTTTTCCATTGTTGCGGAAATTTACCGCCCAAAGAGAGGTAGATCAAGTTGGCATCTCGGTAGCACATGCTTTCAAAACAAAAACTGATATTTTATCTACACCTACAGACTTAGTATTTTTCAATTTGTATATAATTCACAACACATCATTTCCTTAATTAAGGGAATCAGGAATTTCTTTTGCTAAATTACTTCCTACTTCAGCAAAGAAGGTATTGAATAGGTTAGCAGTATCAACATTACTTTCTGAATTAAGCGCAACTATTGGCGTTTCACGTTTCTTATTTGGATTGATAGATGTTAATGAAGCAATAAGATAAAACATTAATTGAACAACAAATTAGCCGTGTCTTGTGTCTTTATTTACCATGTTGATGTTGATGTGCTGATGTGGAGAGAATGAGAGAGTGACAGAACGAGAGAGGGGGATACCGATTTTTATTTAAAAATTGGAAGTCAGAAATGAAAATTAGTGGAAATGCTGATGAAAAAAGACTGACTTGACAGAGAATTTTTTGTATTATCCAGTTTTGGCAGGTTTTAATATCTCAGTTTACATTTTGGAGAGATTTCCTTAGTTGTGGACAGAGGGGAGGGGTGGTGCTGTTCTTTCACTTTCTATCCCAAACCAGCAGTAGGCCTGATAGCTCTAGTGTCCAGGTACACCCCGCACCCCTCCCCCCTCCCCGGAAAGCCCACATTTTCCGAACATTTTGACATCAAATACTCATTTTGGCAAAATATGAAGTTACGTCTTTGTGTCACTGAACACTCGATATGATGTCTGGAGTTAATCAATGTTTCAAAAATTGATAATTAGATAGGACCTATGCCATGCACGCCTGTTTTGTATTTCAGAATGTATTTTTGTGGTCACCCTAAGCGCCGTGGGGTGATGTCATATGAGGAACGGCTCCGAACACTTTCTTGGTCTTCTCTTGCTTCTCGCCGAGATTACCTTCTCTGTACATTTGCATTTAAGTGTCTCCACGGAATTTGTAACTGTGAGACACTTAGTGCAAATATCCATATCAATCCTCGCCATCCTCATACCCTTTTGTTTCGTCATCTTCCCCCTAGGACTCTGTTTTTCTTTTTTCCTTTCTCCGTCTCGGCGCCTTCCCAGATTTTGGGACACTCTGCCTCTGGGCATCAAGGGTGATGCTGTCATTTCTTCATTGACTTCTTTCCTTTCTTCTTTGAAGGGAACAATTTTTTCCAATTCGTGATCCTCTCACCCCTGTCTTCTTCTCTTTCTACTTCTTGTATCGCTGATGGGGGGGGGGGGGGTGGGGGGTGGACAAAATGGCTGAAAGGGGGTATTGCTGCTTGTCGGTAGTATTGGATATCTTAATAAATTATGTCACAGATTTTAATTCATTGATTGTATTCTAACTCAAATTTATCTTCTCCCTGTTGTATAATTAACTTTATATATAAGAAATTAATTGGGTAGTTTAGTTTGTATGATTTGACTTATTCTAACATTGGCAATTGCCTTAAATGTTAATTTTTCAACTCAAACTTCCATCTGAATATACATGTGTTTTCCATCCTGTGTTTTATTAATTTTGTGTGTTGGGAATCAGGATTTGCAAATGATTGATAATATACTAATGTTGTAAAATTATAATAAATTGTGGTACTATGAGGTAGAGGGTATGGAAGCTAATAGAGGAGTGAGTTCTAGTCGTGTTGTGTTTTTTCTTTAACCATTGTACTTTTATGTGTAATATTTGTATTTGTATATTATGTGATTGTGCAATATCATATTTTTATCTCTCTACACCGTTACCTATTAGGGCTCGCATGCCTCCGGCCAACAATGAAGAATTTCACTTTTGCGAACCCTGGCCCAGTAACCATTTCTTTCCTCTTCTCCTTGCTTCTTATTTCCCTCTCTTTCTCTATTATTTCTAAGATAATTGTATCTATTATGTCGACTTTGTATATATTACTGTATTGTACGGCCGAACAAATAATAATAGCAATACTAAAAGTCACCATAAAGGTCAGTCTTGGCCAACCTCGGATTAATTTTGATCTTTAGTTCATCCGAGTTTATATCATGATAGAGCCACCTTCAAATTTAAGTCATGCAACATGAAAGACGGAGGTAATAGGAAGAAGTACAAACGAACGTTGAAATCAGTTTACTCCAGAGAGAGGTCATAGAGGTCATCATATTTTCTTCACTTTAACATTATATTACACAAATACTGTAACAGTTGAAAAGTATATGGGTATTAACGAATTAAAACACGTATCTGTTCAAGAGTGCACTAAACTGATGACAAGCATAACATTAAAAGAAATGGCATAGTCACTATAGTTCCTTTCGACCGTCATCAATCTGTTGATAATTCCTCTTCAATGTTTGGTTTAACCACGATAACACACATATTCCGAGACACTACACTGGGATTTAGGAACTCATCATGAAGGTCCGATGTGCTCGGTTGAGGCTGGTATGGTAACGGAGTACCCTGTAGTGACCTTGGAATGGGAGTATTATGCAGCAGGGCTGAACACTGTGGTGCTCCCGACGGGACCTCCTCCAAGGCAGGCAGATGTGTCGCCATAGACTTTGTGCGTGCACCACTTCTCGTCGAAGCTGTGTTTAATTCTGGACGGTGGATTTCTGCTGGCGTCGGGGCGTTCAGTTCCACCATGTCCGTGTCCCTTCTGAAGTTGACGTTGATATTCTCTACTCGAACGTTGTTTCTGCAGTTACGATGAATTCCTCGTATGCGTCTCTGGCGCCATGTTTCATGAAAGTCCCGAGACCAAGCGAACGGATTAGAACAGATCATTAAGGGACGCCGTTTATAGGTCCCAACCTCGTCTCTTCTCTCCTCTATTCGTCGGAACTGCTGTTGCGCATGGCTGTTGATATCAAGGTTTATGGTGATGGTATAGCATTGGCAGGCACAACAGCAAATCAAGGAACTCAAGTCCTGGCGGAAAGACTTGTTGAAGATGCAGTAGATGATGGGATTATAAACGGACGAGGTTTTGGCGCAGAAGGCCGGTAGGATACGAAATGCGTCTGGAATCTGATTTACTGGTATGTAAGTGACCCACATTGCAATGACGGCGTAAGGGGTCCATGATATAGTATAGGCCATGGTGATCATACAGGCGGTCTACAAGATGAAGGGGAAAAAATTAAACAAATTTGTTTGGAGGCTTTTATCTATAAGGGCGTCCGAAAGCATGAATATATAAACAACAACAAACTGGGCTACTCACGAAATAGTCAGGCAGTCGAGTCCTATTCATATATTTATGTTCTGTCATGACCGTTGTCCTCTTCCATTTTGAGTACATACCTCTTTACAGATAATCGTACTTATACTTGAGTGTGCAGGTGGACCACTACACCGGGGTTTCCCCCTACTCTTATACGAATAGTGCAGTGGGTTCTTAATAACGTGCAAAGGTAGTGACTCTTCTCTACATGGGGCCTCCATTTAACGTCTTATCCGAGGGATACAAGAATATATCGTATTACTTACACTTATTAAGCCTATGAATATTATTGAATACGCCTGTATTTTAACACAAGGTTTGCACTGTCCATTTTGCATCCACTTATATGTACATTATAACGAGACAGCTACTGTAGTCTAAGCAAGCGTTGCCGCAGACCTACGTCAGCAGATGAAGCCACATGGTATTACGATGTAACTATCACATAAATCGACAATGACAGACCTTATACATGTATTTGTAACGTATGACCAAGAAGTTCTTGGTATGACACAAAGACATCAGCAGTTAGGAAGCCTTTGATCCTATAACTTGTACCTTCAACAGGCGGATTTCTAGAAGCATCCTGCCCGCGTTGTGGCCCACATTGATCCTTCTGTTGTGGTGGATCATTTTCCTTGCTATGGCCACGTAACACAAGACAATGATCATCAGGGGCATGAAGAAGACGACAATGGTGGTGAAATAGGTATAAGACAGACCGGAAGGACTTGTATCCGCAAAGTCTATCGTGCAGGATAGATGGTAGGGCTCAGGCACGTAACTGGAGGAGGGGGTGGGGGGGGGGGGGAGAGATTAAACAAAAACATGAACAATTGTTTGTCATTGTTACACAAAAAAAACTTGATTATAATTCTATGATTATCGAACAAGGCAATATATTCCTTGATTGTGACATTGTGGTTAGGTTGTCGCTCCTCATGTGTATGAAACGTTCAGTATAATAATTTTATTGCAACATACTGTACTCAGTATCTTTAACAAAGCATACAGTATAATTCGATCTAATAAGAAACAAGTTTGTCATTCAGTTGCCGTCTCTTAAGAACTCAACGAATCAGGATCATGTTTTATGTTGAAGAAGTAATGCTACAGATTGTTTTACATGTTTTTATTAAATAATTTCAACGTAGCTCTATTAGACAATTAAAAAAAAAAATATATATAATAATAATATGCCGAGTAATTTTGATGGAAAAATACATTATGGGACTCAGTGGCGGATTTAAGGGGGACCCAAGGGACCCAACCAGCTCGTGTCCTCAACCCTTTGAAGGCAATATGGCAAAACAAATATGTGGTCTCTAATTTGTGTTATTGTCTCTTTCTTACAGAATACTGGATCCTTCCCCGATAGTGTTAATGAAATACCCCCAAATATTAATAGGAATTTTGAGAGGGTGCAAACACCAACCTGCTCCAGCCGAAGAGTGGTGGTGCCGTGGTGAAGAAGGCGAAACCCCAAATGGCGACAATAACCTTGATAACGAATGGTCGAGACTGGTACTGATCTGGAGATGGATTTAAAATGAAAAAGACGATAGCCATGAGAAACGGTATTACTGCTTGCTGCTGCTCATGATAATGATATGGAGATGTTGATGAATATAATGATGTTGAACATAACGATAATTATGATAATGATAATATATAATCGTAACAACAACAACGACAATAATGATAAGAGTAATAATATCAATATTGATAATAAAAATAATAAAAGTAATAATAATGATAATGGTAATAATTACATCCATACGACCACGCAAACCCGACCACGCACCCCAAACAAACCCACACACACACATCCTCTGTCATTAAAAAAAAGTATGCGGTCTTAAAGAGAAGGTTGAGTTCTGGGAAGAGGTGAAAAATAATTTGTGAGCATTACTCATTCTTATTATGCAAGTGTGGAAGAACATCAGTTAAGACATGTTCCCTGAAAAGCATGGCTCTTCAAATGCCTTCATATTCTAAATATGCATGTAACATCGTAAAAATCGGGGGGCCGGCTTTTTACGCCACGTGTTCGTGTAGTCCCATATACATCTTTCTGTGCAAGTGTTTGTAACTTTACCAAGACTTGGCCAAATTTCTTATCATTTTGATGATTCCAGAACCTTGCAATACACACAAATTCTCATATGCTAGATGATCAACCTTTTCTGGTCGGTTCCACACCGTTTCTTTCACGATGCAATCGCATGACCAGAACTCAACTTCATCTTTAATCTTTTCTTGATCCTACATCTTAAATCCATCTAATTTCAACATCGGCATTCACAGATATACAATGTGTTCCAATTAGTATCCTAAGTTTGGTACTAATCCCGTCTTAATCGATGAGTCAAATAAAAACACACCCCATTATTATGGACAAGACAATATAGTGTAATAAATTGTGATTGACGTGTACGAGGAAAAAATCTACATAATTGGACAGGGGCTTAAAGTCATACAAAAATTGGTAAGTCCGAGGATGTTTATTTCGTACACGATGGTCACCTCATTAACTCGAAAACATATAAGATGATTCATTAATCAGTTCTTAATTATGTCATCATGCTGAAACCGAATACGATGGAATTGCAACATCTAGTACCAAATCATTAGCTGTTACTGAAGAATATATTACTGGTGAGTGGTGACAAAAGAAAGCAAGTGAGAACAAAAGTCATCCAATCGCGCCCGACTTTAATTGGAATAATTCAGATTGAGGATGATGCATCCGTCATGAAATAACGTATTCGTATATCGTCTGATAAGAGCCAGAAGTGTATTAACTCTGACTCTGTGTTATATCTCCTAGGAGACGATCTTCTATGTAGTTCAATAGCAGTGTTATATTGTAGGCCTAAAAGCATTAATTGTGAAAACAATGCTAAACTGTAGGCCTACTGTATCGTAACATTCATTCATTCATCCCTTCATTCAATCATGTATTGATTATCCGTCTAATGATGACGAACACCCTTTCAGTAAAAGCTGATTTCAACATTGTCCAAACTGTATATAGCTTAAACAAAGAGTAAGCAATGATAAGGAAAATGAGTAAAACGTCCGTAATACATGATAATGTTGATTTCAGTATAAGTGTTTTCAACTCTTTTCCTTACAACCTGCTCCCTTACCGGTTGGTTTATAATTTGTTGGTATGAACAACAAATCCACCGCTTGAAAAACAATTTAGAATTACTTGAAGCCAGCTCGTCTTGGTATTAATTCTCCATTAGTTTGCTACAATCTAAAGTTAGCCTTAATGCAGCCGGATCTTGAATGATCCTTTAACAGGGAAAGGGAAATTGATGCAATGCGCCTTATAAATGGATAATATACACATGTATCATAGTATCAGTGTACTGTTCCTTATGTTGTCCTCTGTCCGTTTGACGTATATATGAGTGGATTTTAAACCGTATCTTTAGCTTAGGAGATAAAGTCATCAAGGAATGGACGGTATTAATGGGCAGATTATCCTTAAAGGTAAAGACCAGTATTGGAAACGCCCCAATTTCAAAAAATGAAATGGAAGCTCTTATTACCAATCATGTGAAAGAATATGTTTTGACTAATACATGATACAAATTTTGTCGGGAAACCGCCTACTAATTGATATATTGGGTAAATTAGTTTATCTACATGGTCTGTGAGAGATAAACGCACGTGTCGCGCATGTGTGCGTATAGTCCCATATACATCTTTCTGTGTACAGTGCTTGTAACTTTACGAAGACTGGACCATATTTCTTATCATTTTGATGATTCCAGAACTTTGCAGTACACACCAATACTTATATGCTAGATGATCAACCTTTTCTGAACCTTCGTTCTTCTCAAAGTTACATATAGGAAGAACGAAAAAGTTCACAGAATATTGTTCATCTTTACCAAATCTGTTTAAACCTAGCTTTCATGCTACATTTGTATGTAGTCCCATTTACCCATTTCTACGTGAAGTGCATGTAATTTTCAACAAGAGTATGTCAATTTCTTGTTATCTTGATGTTTCAAAAAGCTCACACCATATTATGTATTATATACTTAATTGGATATCATTGATGTAAAATAAAGATAATTTTCGAAAGTGATTGACAGTAGATTTGATTTATTTTAACCGTAAGCCTTACTTCTGATCTTAAAACCGTGTCATGAATGTCATGAATAATAGATAGACGGTGTACGTCAGTTTTAATATTGCACATCTACGATAGAGATCAACAGGGTAAAGTTATAGTCATGATAGTAGTAGTGATATAGTAGCAATGATATAATAATGACGGTGGTGATAACGATGCTACTACTACTAACAATAATAATAATAATAATATTGATAACAATAATAATCATAATAATAACAATAATGATAATAATAATAATCATCATCATCATTAATACCCCAACTAGTACTAGTACTACTTCTACTACCACCACTACTTCTACTTCCACTACTACTACTCTACTACTACTACTACTACTACTACTACTTCTACTACTACTACTACTTCTACTACTACTACTCCTACTACTACTACTACTCCTACTACTGATAATAATGATGATACAAACGAATTTCATTAAAAAGAATAATCTTGTATACAATTTACATGAGAGTAGAGAATACAATTTTGGAAGAAAGTCATTGGTTTAAGAGTTACTTTCAAAATGAACAGAAAAAGTCTGAATAGTACATGCCTTTCGGCTAGCAAAAGAAAATATAACAATTTCTTTCATCAAAGTACTCTTATTGGCTCATAGGGAAAATACGGACATGAATTTCCTCAGTAAGAGCTTGCTGTGACACTTACCCACATTCTCTCTGCATAGCTTGGCGTATCTGAGGAGAGCAATAACCATCAACGTTGCCATACTACCAACCGCAAATAGGAATGATGTGAAACCATACCAGACACAGCCAAACTTCCCAAAGGACCACTAGAAGGAAACACACATTTGAGAAAATTATTTCATAATTCATAATGATAACTGTTTATCATACAGCGCTTTACCAGTTACAACGTACCCGATCAAAGCGTTACAGTATTATTACCCTGGTCAATGGATTCTTTTATTATTCTGCACTATACAGTGCGTCCCAGAAAAAAACGAAACCGAGAATTATCGATGTTTTATCATAACTTAATCACAATTATAATAAAAGACACATATTTGTAAAGCGTGGATCGTCCTCTTTCATTTGATGCGTGAGTGATTAAAATTAATCTGAATTTCTAGGAGAAAAATCACATTTTTAGAAGGTTCATTTTCTACCCTTTCATATGACACCTCAATCAAGAAAAAATGAGCTAGGAATAACAAAGTTCTGTTTGCATTGCATTTCCATACTTTTATTAAACGAATTCCTTTCCACTGGCTGCCTGCCGTAGCAACAAAAAGATTAGTTAAGTCTTTTGTCAGACCTAAGCTTTACAAATATGTGTCATTTATTAATTACAATTGTGATTAAGTTATGATAAAACATCAATAATTCTCGGTTTCGTTTTTTCTAGGACGCACTGTACAGTGCACACTCTCCACTCCCTTGGAGTGGGGAGCATTCCAGCCAGTCGCCCTTTTACCCGCGCGCACATGCTATTCTAACCACACTGACGTTCACATTCTACCGAGTACCTATTTTAACACCTGGGTGGAGAGGAGCAATAATGGTAAAGTGCCTTGCGCAAGGACTTAATTGCTTATTTATATAATAATAAAAATTATTAAACTTAATATTTAAAAGGGTTTGATTTGCTTTTTTAAACTCATTAATTTATTTACATTCGCAAATTTTGCATTACAATATTCAATCAATTTTTTCATCATACAGGTAATGTCAATATCCTTTTAACTCACCTTATGAAACGCGCGAATGTGACGATGACGTTATACTTTTATATTATGATTTATAAACGTACATGCATATACATACACACATACATGCATACATATATATATATATATTTATGTATAGATGTTAGTGAATAACCTTTACAACAGCTTTGACAACTCTTGTGGAAATAAATACAATACAAAAGGAAATAAGAGAAGATATATATATATATATATATATATATATATTGTATGTATATATGTTATATAAAATACTAAGAGGATAAAATGTCCAACGAGATGCAGAGTCAAAGTAGTATAGTAGAAAATATATTTATTTACAACGCTAGAATACTCAAGAAACATAGATTGAACTTCACAAACCATTTTGATTTATTCTCATCAGGCGAAGTGAGTGTTTCAAGGCTTTATATGGTTATACAGTGCGTCCCAGAAAAAAGGAAACCGAGAATTATCGATGTTTTATCATAACTTAATCACAAACATATTTGATAAATGACACATATTTGGAAAGCTTAGATCCTCCTCTTTCATTTGATGCAACTCACATGAGTGATTAAAACGAATTTGAAGAGAGGAAACCAAAAAGTCATTTGGCGGACGGTATCTGAATTTCAAAGAGAAAATCACATTGCTATAACTTCCATTTCCATAATTTTATCAAACGAATTCGTTTTCACTGGCTGCCTGCCGTAGCAACAAGCAGAATTGACAAAACACTTAACTCCGTTTCGTTGACAATCAGCCATGCATGAAGTCTTTCGTCTACGACTTGTTTTAAACGAAACGGAGTTAAGTCTTTTGTTAATTTCGTTTGTTGCTACGGCAGGCATCCAGTGAAAACGAATTCGTTTGATAAAATTATGGAAATGCAAGCACAACTTTAAACAAACAGAACTTTGTTATTCCTAGCTCATTTTTCCTGACTGAGGTGTGATATGAAAGGACAGAAACTCAACTTTCTAAAAATGTGATTTTCTCTTTGAAATTCAGATACCGTTTGCCAAATGACTTTTTGATTTCCTCTCTTCAAATTCATTTTAATCACACATGCGTGAAATATGTATTATACAAGTTGCATGAAACGAAAGAAGAGGATCTAAGCTTTCCAAATATGTGTCATTTATCAAATATGATTGTGATTAAAACATCGATAATTCTCGGTTCTTTTTTTCTGGGACGCACTGTATATATATATATATATATATCCACACAAAAGTATATGGTTACACAGTTGTATTCAATAAGGACCAGGGGTGTTTCACAAAGGCTAATATCGACTTTAAGTTGGAGTTAACTATGGCAGGCCGTTCATGCCACTGTTTTCTCTCACCGTTTACTGGCATTGGTCTCTCAAGGGATGTACAAATCATGGTCACAAATCTACAGAATTTACATTTTTTTGATAGGTCATTATCGAAGGAAAAAATATTCTTTAAAGATCATAATGTCGGGAGCAACCAGTAGCATGAACAGTCTGCCATAGTTAAGTATATGTTGTTGTTGTTGTTTTGGTTTATAGGCGTTTATCGTTCAGGAGTGAATATTTACGCCTCTACTGTTAGGATTTTTTCCTTTCAAAGTAGATTTATCTTTTATAATACACAGATTTTGAAAAATTGAATTCGTAAAAGCTAAACTTTTTAATGTTAATCTTTTCAAATATACAGATTTTGATAAATTGAATTCTTAAAAGCTAAACTTTTTATTGTTAATCTTAGTCTTTGTGAAACACTCCCCGGGACTTTTAAATTCACCTATGGATAAACAATGGAACTACGACTTCCCCTTTTCTTCTTCGGATTATTAAAGTGTTAAGGTGTTAGGGTGCAGGGTAATCTGTATTGTTGAACATGATGACGGATAAATTGCACTAATATGAAAGGGAGGGGTATAATTGGGAGATAATAGAGGAATGTGGCTGAAAGATAGAGTGTGAAATTCAATTACAGGAGAAAAAGAGAGAATTATGGAGGTAGAGAGAGAGAGGAAGAGGAAAAGAGGGGGGGGGGGGGGGGTCAGAATGTATAATCATATAACCCAGTGATTCTATACATATCTTCTATGCACGTTTCCAAAGAGATGGTAAAGAATATCGTAATATAAACTAAAATATTTTTTCCTTATTTTTCATCAAACGTTTGTTTCGCTTTGTTATTCTTCTTGATGTCAATATTTTAGCGACGCCCTTTTAATGAGGATGTTTAACTCAGAAGGCAAAGGAAAAACAGCTGCGGATCCATGATCCACTTCTGACGTGCAATATACAGCACATTATATAACAAAAAATATATACGCAAATTGGGAAGAATCTAGTTATAGAGTTATTACCTGTGTGAACATCACTTGCATTTCAGTTTAAAGAGTAACTAATATTCTGTCTAATGATACCATATTCATAACTCTGCATCTAAGTATTGTCGAAATTCTTTCGTACCAAGGTTGGGCTGAAGCAATGAACATGAGTCAAAAGTCCTTAAAGCATTGTAATTTCAGTCCAAAAAATGATTGCTGATATTATATTCACATTGATTTTTTGCATTTGAATAAAAACGTCACATTTTTGTTCAGCTCATTCTCAAGAAAAGGCTCATTTACAAGCAACAGTTATGATATTATCTTTGTCATAATGACACAAATCTTGGTTTCTCTCATATCCCTTGTGTAAGGTAAACCTTGGGTTGCTTGTTTTACTTATGAAAGTCTACTGTCAATATCTTTTAAATGTCACATTTATTTGTCAGTTTTCACTTTCAGTTTCAGTTTATTTTCATATTTTACTTGTTGTATAATACATCATTACATTTGGCATGTTACATTTTTGTAATCATTTTTTTGGATGCATTTATACAAACGGAAAGAATGATACATAAGACTAAGTCAAATAAAAGAAGAAATATGATAGAGCCTAAAGAGAATGAGCAATGCTTGTAGGTCATAGGCATAGACTAGTAGGTTATAGGCTATTTTCAGCTTATTCTCAAGAAAAGGCTGATTTACAAGCAACATGTATGATATTATCTTTGTCGTGATGACACAAATCTTGGTTTCTCTCATATCCCTTGTGTAAGGTATAATTGGGAGATAATAGAAGAATGTGGCTGAAAGATAGAGTGTGAAATTCAATTACAGGAGAAAAGAGAGAATTATGGAGGTAGAGAGAGAGAGAGGAAGAGGAAAAGAGGGGGGGGGGGGTCAGAATGTATAATCATATAACCCAGTGATTCTATACATATCTTCTATGCACGTTTCCAAAGAGATGTTAAAGAATATCGTAAAATAAACTAAAATATTTTTTCCCTATTTTTCATCAAACGTTTTTTTCGCTTTGTTATTCTTCTTGATGTCAATATTTTAGCGACGCCCTTTTAATGAGGATGTTTAACTCAGAAGGCAAAGGAAAAACAGCTGCGGATCCATGATCCACTTCTGACGTGCAATATACAGCACATTATATAACAACAAATATATACGCAAATTGGGAAGAATCTAGTTATAGAGTTATTATCTGTGTGAACATAACTTGCATTTCAGTTTAAAGAGTAACTAATATTCTGTCTAATGATACCATATTCATAACTCTGCATCTAAGTATTGTCAAAATTCTTTCGTACCAAGGTTGGGCTAAAGCAATGAATATGAGTCAGAAGTCCTAAAGCATTGTAATTTCAGTCCAAAAAATGATTGCTGATATTATATTCACATTGATTTTTTGCATTTGAATAAAAATGTCACATTTATTTTCAGCTCATTCTCAAGAAAAGGCTCATTTACAAGCAACATTTATGATATTATCTTTGTCATAATGACACAAATCTTGGTTTGTCTCATATCCCTTGTGTAAGGTTAAACCTTGGGTTGCTTGTTTTACTTATGGAAGTCTACTGTCAATATCTTTTAAATGTCACATTTATTTGTCAGTTTTCACTTTCAGTTTCAGTTTATTTTCATATTTCACTTGTTGTATAATACATCATTACATTTGGCATGTTACATTTTTGTAATCATTTTTTTGGATGCATTTATACAAACGAAAAGAATAATACATAAGACTAAGTTAAATAAAAGAAGAAATATGACAGAGCCTAAAGAGAAAGAGCAATGCTTGTAGGTCATAGGCATAGTCTTGTAGGTTATAGGCTATTTTCAGCTTATTCTCAAGAAAACTTGGATACAAGGAGATTTTAACGGCACGTTGAAAAACACCTGGTGCTAAGTCATCCTCGGCAGAAAAATTATGATTCGGGTATCATTAGACAGAAAAAAGTTCACATCGATTATGACTTTTTAATCTTACGTTACCAAAGTTAGATTTACTTTTTTTTTAATAAATACGCACTGTATATACAGGTGTGCTCGTTTGCAGTGGCGTACGCAGGATTTTTTTCAAGGAGGTTGTTTAAAGGGGGGGGGGGGGGGGGAGTGGGCACTATTTTTGTTTGTGTCCCCGGAAATCAGAAAATCGCGCCCACCGATATTTCGCTTAGTGGGAGTGGGGCAGGGGGCGAGCACAATTTTTTTTTGTTTGTTTAGGGGGGTTTAACCGCCCCCCCCCCTGCGCCCGGTGCTGCACTCCACCCAAGTGAAGTAAATGGGGACCTGGTAGGCCATGCAGGGTAATTATGCTTCATCGTTGTAGAGCGCTTAGAGACTTCTGATAATGTAAGTGTTATGCGCTGTATAAACACGTATAATTATTATTATAATTCTGTTTAGGATAATAATCACCAACTTCTCAGTTTTGTTTGGTTTTTCCAATCAACCATTGTGTCAACGTACGTCCTTTCCAAGCCTAGTCGCTCACAGTCTTAAAGCGTTCGGCGGCCTTTTGCGAATATTTATAAATAGACAAACTATATTTGATAGATACTTGTTTGAAAGGGGGATTGTTCAATTAAATCTCTTGATTGAGAAAGCTCATTTTAAGTCTGTTCAACTTTTTATGAACCTCGGTATGAAAGGTAATAATTTGCTTATGCTAATTGATATTTATGATGCGATACCCAGGTAATGGATAGATGATTTAGGGTAAATACAATTCATCGAGGTCGATGTTATATGTTATAATACTTATTGTCATATTTCGTGTTCAAAAAAAAGTTTTGGGATGTAAATTCAATAACAATTTATGATTATTTTACAAAGGTACTACAGCAGACGTATGGGTTGCAGGTAAGGGATGGGCAAAATAATTATGATTTTAAAGATTATTGCACGGAGCCATATATATACTAATCAGCATGTAGATTTGGTTATTTTGGTGATAATTTATATTCGTTTTGTAAACAGGAAATAGAAACATAGAAACATTTATTTTTTATCTTACGGGAGCGTTCAAAGGATATGCCAGGTTTTAGTACAACTTTTTGAGTTAGATGAAATTAAAGATTTAGAATGGCTAGATATATTTGTTGGGTTGACAGGAAGTTCATATAGAATACAAATCTGTAATTCTATAATTTTTCATTGTGAGGTATGTTATATTTAGGTCAAGATCGGGGGGGGGGGGTGCCAACTACCAACTTTAAAAAAAATGAAGAAAACTATTTTGAATTATAAGGATGAGGAAAAGAAAATAGCCATTAGAATGGGAAAGCTGGGATTACACTTTCTACAGTGGGAGCAGCTTAGTGTTAATTAAGATTTATTTTCGTCTCCACCATGAGCTTGTTAAAGTGTAATAACTCTATTGTGCAGCCTGGTTAAATCATTTATTTAGTATATTTCTTGAGTTGAGAATGTTACATCCACTGAGTGAGTAGGGAGTGGGTATGTGTGCGTGTGTGTGTGTGCGTGCGTGTGTGTGTGCGCATGTGTGCGTGTTTTATGATTATGTATGTATGTATAGATTTCAGAAGCACAATGAAAGCATAACCCTTTCTATGTAACGTGATAGAAATGTTCTCATATCTTTCAAACCTATCAGATCTCAAAATATATCACATCTCTTACAAGCCTCATGCCCCCCCCCCCCACAACAAAAAATGAATGAATGAATGAATGAATGAAATGAAATACCCCCGAAAGGCAAAAGTATCCACGGTGCGCTAATGTCGGACAAGCAAGCAAATGAAATATAACAAAATGAAAAAAAGAATGAGATGAAATACACACGCAAAAAACATAACCATATGCCTATACCCCATCCTCTGTGCCACCTAGATCCTTAAATAAGTGAAACAAAGGGCAATAGAAGGAGAAGGTAGGGACTTACCCTATGTCTAAAAGCTGAAATCATTGGTAGTGGATACGAGACGACACAGATGAGAAAGTCTGCTATTGCTAGGTTGATTGTCAACAGGTCAATTGGCTTTAATTTCTCACGTTTCCGTAGAGAGATGACGATGACTGATATATTTCCGATAAACGCTATCAGAGCTTCAGCAAATAGAAGAAAAAAATTAACAAATTAATTTCTTCATTTTTTCATCATTCCTTCATAATATATACAGATACATATACATACACAAATACATTTCTCATATGATTTAAGTGTTTCATAAATTTATGGAATTGATTTTCAAAGACTGTTTAGACAAAGGGGTATATACACCATAAACTTACAAAAAGATGCAGAGTTTAAAATGATCTCAAGGCAATTTGAGTTTAGAAGGATGTGGATGCAAAAACAACGCCTACCTAATACATGCCCCTGAAATCGATTAGAATCTTTCAAGGAGGTCGTATTCATAATTTACTCAAGGAAAAGGTAAAAAGTCAGATAAAAAGGAAGTTAGAGGGAGGGAGAATAAAAATTATTTTAATGATGGTCGGACACGACAATTTCAAGTACTTATGGAGATTGAGTGTATTTTGTCAGCCTGATTATTAGCATAGGCATACACTGTCTGCATGCTATTACTGTACACGGGGGCTCCTCTTTGTACAGTTTTGAACCAGGGTGACGATATTCACAGATTTGCTCTTATTTTAAACAAAACGCAGACACAAAAAGGGACAAAAAGGCGCTCTCACATTTTTTATTTACTAACAAGGGCACAACACATCACCCTCCCCGATTTCAACATTTGCCGACAAGGTTACGAGCAAATTTGCAAAATATCTCAATTTCCCGATAAGAATGAAAAAATGTGATTTTTTTTTCTTCTTCTTGGTCAATATAAATTATTTTATATTTCCTGTTTGAAACGGAGGCTATCAAACGCCACGCCCCTCTATATCGATTGAATTATCGATTGACTATTAGTGTTGCCTAACCGCACTCCATCTAATTAAAACGGTCATGCATGTTACGTATTGGTTTATAACGCGATAGACACAGTGCTGCTTATGAGGTAAGATTTTTTTCTTCTACCCTGTCCTATGTAATTTATTGTTACCTCATTTTCCACTTCATGATTTAACTAGACCAAGAAGTACCTTTGGGTAACTTTTTTGCTCTTATTTTACAAATCTATCCAAACTTATTTTAAGAATCCAAAGCCTTAATTCTTAGTGGATCCCTCCATTTCCACAGTTTTTACTTTAAAAAAAGAGAAACATACACAACTTACAGCAAACAATTTTGTTGTTATGATTGTTTACATTGGCTGTGTTGGAAATGAAGAAAAATGAGAAGGTACGTCGTATGTCGTGAAATGCCCTTTTCAAGGAAGCTAGAATATTCTTCTAATGAATATTGTAAACTATCATAAGAAGGTGTTCATCCAGGGGGGTGTTTCACAAAGATCCTAAGTAGAACTTAACACTAAGTTGGACTTAAAAATTATGGACAGCCATTGGAGCCTTAAAATGAAATATGTTCAAAAGCAGAAATTCAAGTATTTTAGACTTTTTTATAATTCCACATCAAGAACATGAAATCTCCTTGATGATAGAAAATATGAATGATTTGAATCAAAATTTCATGCCTTTTTAAAATAACTTTTACAAAATATTTTCAAAGATGCTAACGGCTTTCCATAATTTTTAAGTCCAACTTAGAGATAAGTTCAACTTAGAATCTTTGTGAAACACCCCCCTGGAAATATGATAAGAGGTAGCGATGCTAGTAAAGTGAGGGGGCTGTCAAATATACTCCATTAAAAAAAGTGGGGCAAGGCCTTCAGTATCGTATCCAGGACCGGTTAGCACTGGTCCATAACAAAACAACCTACAGTGGGTCTACAGCACGAGGGGCTACCTAAAGACAAACATCTTGGCCCGAATTCACAAAGCAAGATTTGAGCTCAGACCAAGGTTTGAGCTCAAACCTCCATTTGTTTCGCCAAACCTCCTTTTGTTCTTTACAAACCAGGTTTGTAAAAAACGCGTAAAACGCGTCATATGACGTACGAAAACCAAGGTTTGTCGACAAACCTCCTTTGTGAATTCGGGCCCTTTTGTCTAAAAACGTTTCCACCTACGTCGATCAACTGCTAGATAACAGACACCACATGGACGATTTAGTTTTTATATTATAAGTGCCTTGTGATACTTTTTTTTCTCCACAGGATACTAAATCATTTCTTTGTTTTGTAAATTATCGAGTAAAACACGAGGACATAAGCGTGTTTCATTGTCTTTTCTTGTAACTGAAGCCCCACAAATTTATCTTGTCCGATAATCCTCTGATTATTTCCTTTTAAGCGGTAATGAGGTACATTGTTGCGTAATACAAAAGGTTCGTGTTTTATAAGGTATTACATGGTTGCTTTCAATTTCAAAGCATATTAGGTGCCCATCATATAGTATTTGATCTGACTGATTTACGAATTTTCGGCCATGTTCCTGGAAAAAGGGCTTATGATAATCATAATGACGATGTTGGCAATAATGTTAATGATGACAACTTATGAGTAATGAATTATAAATTAGTTGATAATCACTATAGCAAACCATTTACAAAAGTAAAATATTAATGATTATTGAAATTTAAGATAATCATCAGTGTAACCTGAAACGTGATATGGTCTGTCTAGAAAAATAAAAAAAACAGTTGCATATCTATAGGTTGGGGGCATGAAGGCTTTAAGAGTATTATAGCCACCCGTCGCCTCGGTAAAACACAGTCTGGCATATATTAATTGCATAAAATAGTGTGCATTATAAAAAAAGCGAGAAAGTATATGGTTTTGGCGCTCAGAAATTGTTTGAACCAACCCCCCCCCCCCCCCTGAGAGGAGTCTCGATCCACCACTGCAATGCATTAATATTAAAGTAAAGCGCAAAACAATGTTGAGGAATGCTCAAAAATTGTTGTGATAAAATACAATACGATGACTTGAAAACGGAAAAGAGCCCTTCTCAGCCCTATAATTCCACATATTAATTATACATCTTTGTATGACCGATTATTTATTTACTTTGATAACTTGTTGCTAGTACTATCTGTATATTCCCAGGACAATGCTATCGGATAAGCTGTTGTCTGTTTGATGATTTTGCTTGTTTGTAATGATATGTACCCGCTGTCTATTTTACAATTGTACTTCGTTATCTTTATGATGTAATCGCAGACACATGTACAGCCCAATTGATGTAACTTTCTCTTTATAAGTGAACATGCCTTCCTATACTTAATTCTCTCCTCTCTTCCTTTCACTATTTTTTCTTTCCTATCAACGTTCTGTTATATACAATGTAATTTTCATAATAATGTCTATAATGTTCTTTCGGTAACTGTGTTAATTTATTATGGGCGTTCCCAACTCAAGCTACGCTTTCCGGGTTTTCGCCTCCTTCCGTATCTGAATTAATTACTGTATACTCTATGTTGAAATAATAGTTACATATATCATGTATATATACATTGTGTTTTATATTGTGCTGTTGAGAAGGAAATAAATGTTAATAAATACAAAATACAATAATAAATGAATGATGTATATACTTACATATAAACATCAAATAAACCCCTGCCCAAATGTCTCCTTCGTAAGAGAGTACGGATGTGTAGTGATCATCTGAAAATTGGTCACGGGTCCTCAGGGTCTCGTTCGTCCACCATTTGGCATTCACATCCATCTTCTCCCGGCGCCTTTCCCTTTAATGCTCACTTTTCCACCAACAAGTCATCTATATCTCCAGTAGATCGTGATCTACCCGCACTCACCCGGCAGCTACTTCTCTTGAGCCCGCGTATGATGGCATTCCTCACTTGACTCTGATATCGAATTAAGATGCGAGTAATTAAATGCAAATTAAAAACTGAAGAGAAAAGAATAGGTCCCTTTTTATATATGCATAATACAGCGGAGTCAGACTTTGGAGTGAGGATCTCGACACCTATCTCTAGCAGATCGCGACACCCGCACTCACTCCTAACCTGCAACTATACTCTTTAGCCGGCGTATTCCTCATTTGGCTGTACTATTACTGTGAATTAAGATGCGAGTAATTTTATGCAAATCAAAAACTGAGGAGATAAGAATCGCTCCCTTTCTTTTATCTATGCATCGTACAATGGAGTCTGACTTTGGAGTGAGGATCCCGAAACGAATGCAGTATTATACAGGAGAGAAAATATGATGTTTGTTTCATAATCAGTGTGGTATGAGACCATCAGCGTATGATCATAAAACCATAAATCGGTGCACGTTACTATATAACAAAGAAGCCCTATAGCTAAATGGAATGGACATTAACTAAAGCATCAACAACTAAGAGAGAGAGAGAGAGAGAGAGAGAGAGAGAGAGCATAATTATCTGCTAATTAAGAAAGCTTTTTATGCCTCCGTTACGAAGTAGCCGGAGGCATTATGTTTTCGGGTTGTTCGTCCGTCCGTCCGTACGTACGTCCCGTTCTCGTGATCGCGTTATCTCAAGATCCAATGGATGAATTCCTGCCAAACTTAAAACATGTATGTATCTGGCAGAGCCAATGAACTGATTAGATTTTGGGGTCATGAGGTCAAAGGTCAAAGGTCAAAGGTTACAGGGCTCATTATGTATGCAAAAATAGCTCGTGATCACATTATCTCAAGAACCGATGGATGGATTTCTGCCAAACTTTAGTCATGTATGAATCTTGCAGAGCCAATGATTTGATTAGATTTTGGGGTCAAAGGTCAAAGGTCACAGGGCTCAATATATATGCAAAAATAGCTTATGATCACATCATTATTAAAACCAATGAACAGATTACCATCAAAACATGTATTTATCTTGCAAAGCAAATGAATTGAGTAGATTGTGGGGTCATGAGGTCAAAGGTCATGGGGCTCATTATGTATGCAAAAATAGCTTGTCAATGCCTTCTTATTACAAATGACGGATGGATTACTTTCAAACTCAAGACAAGTATGTACAGTGCGTCCCAGAAAAAACGAAACCGAGAAGTATCGATGTTTTATCATAACTTAATCACAACCATAATTAATGAAGGATACATATTTGGAAAGCTTAGAGTCTCCTCTTTCAGTTGATGCTACTTACGTGATGCATATTTCACGCATGAGTGATTAAAAGCAATTTGAAGGAAGGAAACCAAAAAGTAATTTGGCGGGCGGTATCTGAATTTCAAAGAAAAATTCATATTTCTAGAAAGTTCATTTTCTGTTCTTTCATATGATACCTCAATCAAGAAAAATGAGCCAGGAATAACAAAGTTCTGTTTGTTTAAAGTAGCCATTACATTTTTATATTTTTAACAAACGTATTCGTTTTCACTGGGTGCCCGCCGTAGCAAAAAAGCAGATTTGACAAAAGACTTAACTCCGTTTCGTTAACAATCAGCCATGCATGAAGACTCTCGTCTACGGCTGATTGTCAACGAAACGGAGTTAAGTCTTTTGTTAATTTCGTTTATTGATACGGCAGGCAGCCAGTGAAAACAAATTCGTTTAATAAAATTATGGAAATGCAAGCACTACTTTAAACAAACAGAATTTTGTCATTCCTCGCTCATTTTTCCTGATTGAGGTGTCATAATATGAAAGGGCAGAAACTCAACTTTCTAGAAATGTGAATTTTTCTTCGAAATTCAGATACCGCCCGCCAAATGTCTTTTTGGTTTCCTTCCTTCAAATTGCTTTTAATCACTCATCCGTGAAATATGCATTATCTGAGTAGCATCACATGAAAGAGGAGACTATAAGCTTTCCAAATATGTATCATTAATTAATTATAGTTGTGATTAAGTTATGATAGAACACATAGGCGCCAGAAGTGGGGTGCCAGTCAAAAAAGTGGGGGGGGGGGGGGGGGGGGCAAAACGCATTTTTGCCCCCCAAAACGCCCCCCCCCCTCCAAAAAAAAAAAAAAGCAGTAAAGGAGTAAACATGGTTTGTATTTTTAACCCAAAAGAACATAACAATAATAAAAACCTGAATTAAATCTCATTTACAATTCCATTCAAAGAAAAGGAAAGTTCACAGGAATTAATTTCATAAACATTGCGCATGCAACCTATATGGTATTTATCAATGGAGATCTTTATAATAGCGATACGAGCATATCGTGGACACATTGTGCGAGAATGGGAAAGCGTGTCTGTTTTTTTGTTATAGGGGTGCGAAGACATGAGCCCCTGAACGCTTGCGTACTGATGGGGGGGGGGGGGGTGTATTTCTTATTCGATACCAGTGATTTACAAATGTTACTGTTACGTCATGATTTTCCGGTATTTTTTTCAATTTTTTTTGTTAGTCATACCTTTTTATGCTTTTGTAGGAAAATGAGAAATTCCCAAATTACAGTCGGGCGAAAAATACGCCTTTTTAGAAGCCTTTATGTCTGCAAATTGGCTGGGCTTGAGCCCCCTTACTTTCTGAAAAAGAATGTTAAAGAGAAAAAGAAAGAAAGACGGAGAGAAAAAATAAGTGACCTCCCAATGTCACAAATAAGGTATACAAAAATGCTCATCTGACCGTAATTTAATGCCTAAAACCCCAGAGCTTACGGGACCCCGACCAAGAACCCTAAGGCGGTCCCCTGGGGCGGGTTCCTAGAAACCGTCATAAGTCTAACTTCTTGACTATCCCATTGAAACCCGTGTTAATTCTATAACACACGTTTCAATGGGATAGTCAAGAAGTTAGACTTATGACGGCTTCTAGGAACCCGCCCCAAGATGCTCATCTGACCGTAATTAAATACCTAAAAAAAAAAAAACGAGCTTCCGGGGGCTATGCCCCCTGGATCCCACCAAGGGCCCTAAGGGGGGGGGGGCCTGGATGCTCATCTGACCGTAATTAAATACCTAAAACCCCTGAGCTTCCAGGGGCTCTGCCCCCTGGATACTCATCTGACTGTAATTAAATACCTAAAAAAAAACGAGCTTCCGGGGGTTATGCCCCCTTGGACCCCAACCAAGGGCCCTAAGGCGGGCCCCTGGATGCTCATCTGACCGTAATTAAATACCTAAAACCCCTGAGCTTCCGGGGGCTCTGCCCCCTGGATACTCATCTGACTGTAATTAAATACCTAAAAAACCCGAGATTCGGGGGTTATGCCCCCTGGACCCCAACCAAGGGCCCTAAGACGGGCCCCTGGATTCTCATCTGACCGTAATTAAATACCTAAAACCCCTGAGCTTCAGGGGGCTCTGCCCCCTGGAACCCCACCAAGGGCCCTAAGGCGGGTCCTTGGATGCTCATCTGACCGTAATTTAATACCTGAAACCCCTGAGCTTCCGGGGCTCTGCCCCTGGACCCCACCAAGGGCCCTAAGGCGGCCCCTGGATGCTCATCTGACCGTAGTTAAATATTAAAACCTCTGAGCTTCTGGGGGCTCTCCCCCCCCCTGGAACACGTCAATGGCCTTAAAGAGTGCCCCTGGATGCTCATCTAACCGTAATTAAATACCTAAAACCCCTGAGCTTCCGGGGACTCAGCCCCTTGACCCCCTGCCGAGGCTCATGCCCTGGACCCTACGCCAATTTACCCTCTACCTGATCGTTAAAAATCCACTTTGAAAAACGTTCCGCGGGACCTGCATGTAACGTGTAAGACTGGTAGTGTTGCAGATTTTTCGTCTCCCCCCCTTCCGAACGTTTTTTCTCATTACGTCACTGCCCCTGGAAGGTGAGCCCCCTGGAATGTTTGCCCCCCCCCCCCCAATCCCAAATTGCTTCCGGCGCGCCTGATAGAACATCGATACTTCTCGGTTTCGTTTTTTCTGGGACGCACTGTATATCTTGCAGAGCCATTGACCTGATTAGATTTTAGGGTCTTAAGATCAAAGGCCAAAGGGTCATACATGTATATACAAAAATAACTTGTAATCGCGATATTCTGTAAACCTGTTAATGAATTACAATCAAACTTGAATTTGAAAAATTGCTCTATGGCGGAGGCATCATTTTCGACTGCGCGCTGTCGAACATCCATCTAGTTTCTTCTTCTATCCCTTGAGTTGGTCATCTTCATCACTTAGATGTTATAATGTACATGTATGTTCATGTGAAGTCCTCTTCTCCTGATCATTTCATAAACATTACAAGCATTCCCAGTAATAATGTGTACATAGAGAGAGAAAGAGAGAGAGAGAGAGAGAGAGAGAGAGAGAGAGAGAGAGAAAGGGGGTGGGGGTGCTGTCTCTGGCACATCTGGCAATTAAGAAAGCTTCGTTCTTGATTATCCCTTGGGTAGTTATCATAACCACTTACAATGTTACGTTAGGTGTTCATGTGGAATTCCATTGATAACATCATTTTTTTAAAATTAATCTTCAGTGACTGAAATAACAAGTTTTTGTTTAATTGGGGGAAGTGGTGAGAGATAGGCATAGACCATTGTACATGCAAACAAATAAAAAAAAAAAAAAACGCGGAGAAACTCTTCCAGAAAATGCAGAGTATACCTGAGGCCTAATCTGTCAAGACAGTATGGTCTTGCATACTTAGCGCCTTGGGAAGGCCAGCCGAAGTTTGTGGATCTGTAGGCGTGTGCCCCGCTGACAATGGAAAACATCTTAAACATAATCTCCTGCGATCTCCTACCTTAGTTGTTTGGTGGGTTTCTAAGCGAGAGGAAAGGACGGGCGCCTGATGTAATAGCCGGATACGTCACTGGCCTTCAAGGGGCAAGCCGGAAAGTGAGAAATCTTTCAAAATCAAGAAACTCGTGAATACGATAGAAACCACGAAGTCAGTCTCATTCACCCTAGAAATGGAACTCCGCATAAAAGTTGGTTCATCGCCCCATGTGTGAACAAGGCCAATACAGCCGAGTGTTGCTTCTTCATTCTATTATGTCCCTTCTTTACTATGTTATTTTATATTATACAGGTATGATTTAAATCTCTCAAAGATATAAACCCGAGATATTTTTATATAACCAAATTATACCTAATTATAATCATTATTATTATTCATTTATGATGTAATCCACGGCCTTTTGGCTGGTGCAGCTATATATATTCCTTCCCTCTCATGTAGATCGCGATTGCTAAATTCATTGAGCTGTAATATCAATCTTTCGATTAAGCATGTAATCCCAGAAGAAAAATCTGCATCACAACCATTCTTACATGTTACATGCAGGCCCCGCGGGTCGTTTTTCAAAGGGGAGTATTAACAATCAGGTGGAGCGTAAATTGACGTGGGGTCTAATTACGTATTTAATTACGGTCAGATATGCATCCAGGGGCTCACCTTAGGGCCCTTGGTGGGGTCGGGAGGGTGGAGCCCCCGTAAGCTCAGGGGTTTTAGGCATTTGA